ATATATATACATATATATATATACATATATATATATATATACATATATATATGTATATATACATATACATATATATATATATATATATATATATATGTTAACACTTGCATTATACATTTAAATACATATATATATATGTCCGATATATGTGTGTGTGTGTGTGTTCGGATGGTGTGTGTAGTGTTTATGCAAGTTGTCATTATATTAATAAAATAATTAGTAATAAGCATGCAATTACACTTGGCAACCCCTAATCATTTTAGCTAAACCTACACTCAACATTCTTCTTGTAAGATGAAGAGACACCTTCATCTCTTTTCCTTCCAACACATCTTCACTTACTTGTCTCTCTCCCCTCTCTCCACCGAGACAAATCACCACCACCATCGGCCTCTCCTCTCTACACCTCACCTCACAATTTCAAAAGAATTCCCAACATAAATTAAAATGAGAGTTCCTTATTTAACTCTTGCCTTGGACTACTCCAAGAACACCATCAAGACCACTTGCCTTGTTTCGGGAGATCACAACTCCTCCCTCCTTGAAGCTCACACCATTTCCTTCACAATCAAGGTGGCTTGGTTGGACTTCGGTGCTTGAAAGCTTTCCTCCCTTTCGGTTATTTTTCTTTCTTCGATTTTAAGGTAAGAAATTCGATTTCTTGCTGCAATTGAGAGACATCAATAGTATTGAAAAGATTTTCATGAAATTTTAAAATATTGGGGGAGATTTCGAAATTTAGGGCTTTTTGAAGAAAAATGGGAAAATGAGTGTTCTTGTTAAATTCTTGTTCTTGCATGCATAATCTAGGTGGATAGTGGTTAGATACAGCATTTATTGGCCAAAAGCCTTAAAAATTTCAGATTTCAAAAAGGGGTTTTCAAGAAAATGAGATTTTTAACTTTTTGTGGTTGCATGTGTAGATCTTCGAAAGTTTGGGCCAAATCTGTAATTTTTGTAAAGTCTGTCCGAAAAATGTTTTCAAAACTGTTTTCCAGCATTTATTGAACTAAAATTTCGGATTTAAAGAATTTTTGTAAGAAAAAGTTGATTTTGAAATTCTAGTAGACTTGCATGTGTAGATCTAGAAATTTTGGGGCAAATTATGTAATTTCCGAAAATTTCTGCATAAAGTGACTTTTCAACTTCATCTCCTGCATCTAGTAAAATGGAATTTCAGATTTGTTAGGGGTTTTCATGAAAAAGTTGATTTTGAACTTCTAGTGTGGTTGCATGTGTAAATTTCGAAACTTTTTGGTCAAAACTGCAATTTCCGAAAATTCCCTCATTTTTAAAGTTTGGATCTGTTTTTCAGCAAGTATTAGATAGGCAAAAGTCTTAGTTAACAATTTTTTAAATCAATTAGAGTCATGTTAGAGTTTTGGATTTTTAAATTGAAAAAGGGATTTTTCTAGTTTTTATTTCAAGAAAATTCGAAACTTTGTGAAAATTCAAATTTATTTCAGAATCTGGAAATTTAGTCAGATAGGAGTTCTAAGATTTAATTTGGGGATTTTTGAAATTAGTTTGCTATTATTTCGAAATTTGGTTAATTGCATGTCTTTTACATATGTCTTGTGCCTTAAGTGTTCATGTTTTGATTTAATGGTTATGAATGATGAGTTTTGGGTATTTTTATACTTGGATTTGTTGCTGGATGTGTTTAATAGTTGTGAGGAATTGATTGGAATGGATTATTACCTAGATGTGGTAATAAGTCCATGAAATGAAAGGTAAAAAGGGGTATTTGTCCTTAAGCTTGCTTTGATGAATAATTAGTGATGTTTAATGTGTTGATTGTGCATGTGTGTGTGCTGAAATTGTGTGAATGTGTGGGTGTTGATTGTGCATGGTGTGTGTGCCGTGTGCGGTTGTGTGCTTATGTGTGTGAAATTGGGATTGTTGCTCAAATCATAAATATGTGATAAATTGTGATATTTGTGTGATTTGTGACACTTGATTGACATTTGTGATGTTTTGTGTGGGTCATAAGCATAATTTCGAAAAGTTGCATAAAAATGATTTTTACTTGAAAGGTTAATGGAATATCGGGTAATAAACAACTCGGATATAGTGGGCCGGTATCCAACTAGGATGATGTGGTAGTGGTTTGATTCCACTTAGTGAAAACGGGCTCGTAACAGGTTTATTATCCGGTACAGAAATTAATCCTTCACGGATCCGATAAACTGAAAAATGTGTTTTTCATGATTTTCACAAAAAAAAAAGGGCATTTTAGTCATCTTGCACAATTACGTGATCTTATTAAATGATGTGTTTTTGTGAGATATGTGATTTGACCGATTGCCTTGTGTTTTTGTGCGAAACGTGGGTGAGAACGGGTATACGATATTATATATATATTATATAACGTATTTCTAAAGTTTGATAATACTCGGATTTCTTACTGAGCTTTATAGCTCATATAGATGCCTTTTAATTGCAGGTAGTCGTAATCCTCAACCGGGATGGATCGAGTAGTGGATCGAGGTCTTGCCCGGGGTTTTGGAAGACGTATGAGGACCTATGAACGATGCTAGACTTTTGGTTAATTTCTTTTGGTGGTTTAACTCTAAAACCGTAATATTTCCCTTTCGTACTTTTGAACTCGTTGCCTTATACTTATTTCCTACTTTAATATGTTAAGTTCCGTAAAGTACTACTCTCATGCCTTCGTTGGAAACTTCGAATTATCCACCAAACTAACATTTTCGAACTCTGATTTATTCTCGAACCGAAAAGAATGTTTTGTGAGAATGTAGCACTCGAATAAGAAACCTCCTTTCGAAACTTATTTCCAAACCAAGATTTATATTCGGCTAAATCAAACCAATAAAGTTTTTCGAAAATGCAAAGCCTTCAATACCCATAAGAACAAAGTTTCGGTAATTGCATTTTCACCCCATCCCAACGTTTCAAAAATTACAAAGAGATCCTTTGCTTCCGCTAGTTTAAATAAGATTCCGATAAACCGGTTCGATTTATCGCCCGTCTTTAAGGGGGGTGCTACAACGGTGGTATCAGAGCATTGTTCATAGATACTCGTACGAACTTCACGGGCTTAGAGACTACTCGAGACACGAAGCTCGGACCATCCGGTAACGTATGTGTATTATTTTCTTTATGTGTTTTATTTGCTTTACTTATTAATGATAATTAATATAGAAATAATGGCGAGACGTATAACCCGAGCAAACCCGAGCAATTCCGCCGATGAACCACAAGACCCCAATCAAACCATTAATAATCTCTCTAACTTAATCCGCGAACAAGCCCAAAACCACCAACGTCAAATCGAACAACTTCTCCAACGTAACCAAAACCCGCCTCAAAATAATGCGCATCAAGCCATATACGAACGATTCCTCCGAATGAACCCATCCGAATTTCACGGTGGAACTGACCCCACCATAGCCGAAGAGTGGATCAAATCTCTCGAAGTCATGTACGACTACATGCAAATGACCGACCGCGACCGCGTACATTGTGCCATATTCCTACTCCGAAATGAAGCTCGTCACTGGTGGGAAGGGATCAAAGAAGGAACGAACCTCGAAACTCTGCCATGGACCGATTTCAAAGTCCAATTCTTCGAAAAATATTTCTCGAAAGACGTGCGAGCCCACAAACTCAAAGAATTTCTCGAACTCCGCCAAGGCGACTTACCAATGATCGAGTACATCCGTCGTTTCGAACGTGGCTGCCTCTACGCCCCATTCATCGCTCGAGACGCCGAAGAAAAGAAGAACCATTTCATTCGTGGCCTCCAACCCGAAATTCGTTGTAATACCCCCCGTACTTTCAAAACCCCAAACTACGAACTTAAATTATTCCTCGAAAATTTTTACTTCCTTGACGTGCTATATTTAATTAATGGCTTGATTATGTGTTCAATAAATATGTGATTTTGTGATTACGTGAAATATATGTGAAATATATGATTTACGTATTTAATGGTTTAATTAAATTAATTTGCATATTTTGCCCACTATGTGTACATGCATAATTATATATACATGCATCCTACCTGCATATATACGAACTATGCATATATGCATATATGTACATGCATGCATATATATATATAATTATATGTTTACGTGTGTGTGTGCTTTATAAATATATATATAGATATGTATATATATATTGTTCGGATGAGTGTGTGTGTGAGTGAATTGTGTGTTTAAAATAAATAAATAAAATTAGTAATATTTTGCATGACTTAACACTTGGCATTTTCTAATCATTTCTCTTAATCCACACTCAAGAGATTTGAAGAGACACTCTTCCATTTCTTCCTTACAACACCTAACCCCTCTACTTGGCTTCCCCTCCCTCACTCCACCGAGACATCACCAACACCATTGTTGTTCATCTTCTTCCACATCACCACTCATTTTACAAGAAAAATCAAAAACCACCATGAAAATCCCCTATTTAACCATGGCTCTAGAGTATGCAAAGAACACCATAAAAACTACTTGTCCATTCACCGGAGAAAACAACACATCCATTTTGGAAGCACACACTATATCTTTCACCATAAAAGTGGCTTGGCTCGAGTTTGGCATCAACCCTTGAAGTCTCTCTATTTTGCTTGTTCTTCATTTTCCTTTTGGCGATTTAGGTAAGAAATTTCGAGTTTCTTGCTGCAATTAGAAGATATCATATTATTTTAAAAGATTTTTCAAGATTACCTAAAAGACTTTTAAGTATTTCGAAAGTTAGGGATTTTTGGGGAAAATGGAAATTTTGTGTTAATCCTTAATCTCTTCTTCTTGCATGCCTCATCTATGTTGGTAGTGGATGGATACAACTTTTATTGGCCAAAAACATGAGTTAATTGCAAATACCACCCCTGTGAAATCTCTAATTGTCAAATAACCCCCTGTCAAAAAAAAATTCACTCATACCCCCTTGTGTAACATATTTTGAAGCACACTGCACCCATTGTCATTTTAATCTTTGACCAAGCGTAAAAAGACAAGAATGCCCCAGGGCTTTATTGCAATTAGTAAATCATATTACTGTTTATAATTTTTTTAATAGTTTTTCAATTTTAAACAAAAAATTCGAAATATAATAATAATAATAATAATAATAATAATAATAATAATAATAATAATAATAATAATAATAATAATAATAATAATAATAATAATAATAATATTAATAATAATAATAATAATAATAATAATAATAATAATAATAATAATAAAAAATAGCTCGACAAAAACATGGCCTCCGACGCCGATGACCTAAATTTCCGTCCACCGCCGCTCCCGTCTTCTTCCGCTGAGAGGAGCTGCTTCAGTAGCAAAGGCGCCGCCACCAACGGCCAAATATATGAAGAAGAAGCCGAAACCCCTGTCTTCTGGGCCAAGGCTCTCGCCGGAATTCAACCCTCACCGGCGGCGAAGCAAAAGGGGAGTCTCCCAAGCTCCCAAAACCAAGAAAAAAAACCCCACAAATGTAGCCCAGAAAATTCATATTAGACTAACAAATCTGAACAAAATGGTCCATGATTCCTCTTGTAGAGAAATCAACTTGTGTGATAGAAAAAATTAAAATCATCAAAATCATTCTGGCGGAGATGGAATTATCATAGATCGTGAGTTGCCGATTGAATTTCATTCTGCGTTTGTGGGTGGTGGTGGTGTGACGGCGGAATAGAGGTGGTGGTGTTTGATTTGTAAGAAGTCAAACTTCCCCTGTTTTGCTGCCCTGAGAAACGCGAAGAAGGTGAGAGCAGAGCTGGGCAATTTTTTTATTTTTTATTTTTGATTTGGGGGTGTTTCTGACATTTCACACACAAAAAGGGAGAAAAATTCGCACTGGTCGCGCGTGAGGTACACGATTAGCTTGGAGGGGTCTCGATGCCTTGACTTTTGTTACACAGGGGGGCATGTGTGAATTATTTTTTGACAGGGGGGTATTTGACAATTAGAGATTTCACAGGGGTGGTATTTGCAATTAACTCCCAAAAACATCAACAATTTCAGATTTCAAAAAGGGGGTTTCAAGAAAATGAATTTTGAACTTTTATGGGGTTGCATGTGTAGATCTTAATAAGTTTTGGGCCAAATCTGTAATTTTTGAGAAGTCCGGCCTAAATGTGTTTTCAAAACTGTTTTCCATCATTTATTGAACAAAAACTTCGGATTTAAAGAAGTTTTGCAAGAAAAAGTGGTTTTTGAACTCTTAGTGGTATTGCATGTGAAGATCTAGAGATTTTGGGGTGAATTATGTAATTTTCGAAATTTCTGCATAAAGTGACTTTTCAACTTCGATTTCTGCATCTAATAAAATAGAATTTCAGATTTGTTAAGGGTTTTTACTGAAAAAATGGATTTTGAACTTCTAGTGTGGTTGCATGTGTAAATTTTGAAACTTTGGGGTCAAAACTGCAATTTCCGAGAAATCTCTCATTTCTTGATTTTGAATCTGTTTTCCAGCAAGTATTAAATAAGAAAAAGTTTTCTTTGCAAAGGTTTTCAAAATATTAAAGTCATATTGGAGTTTTGGATTTTTTTTAAAATTACAAAGGGTTTTATATTTCCTTTAGTTTTTAATTTCTAGAAAATTCGAAACTTTGTGAAAACTTGAATAAATTTCAGAATCTGAAATTTGGATTAGTTAGGAGTTCTAGGATTTAATTTGAGAATTTGTAAAGATCTTTTACTATTATTTCGAATTTTAAAGGTTTAGGTGCTAATTATGAAGTTCTTGTGCTTTAAGTGCTATGTCTTGGAATTGTGTGATTTAAATTGTAAAGCATGGGATTATGAACATGGATTTGTGGCAGAAACATATTTATGAGACTGGTGGAATTTATTAAGATGAAATTAATGAGTGAAAGTGGTGAGAAACCAATTAAATGATGGAATAAAAGTGTCTTTACTTTAAAGACATGATTGTGCTATTTATTATGCATGTTTATGGTTGCATGGCATATGCAGGTATGTGATTGTGTGTGTACGTGTGTGGGCAGAATGTGTGTGTATGTGGTAATGATATATGTGTTGGTTAAATGTGCAATTAAGTGGTTGATAATTGTATTTGATTGGGATGGTTATTCACTTGATTGATATTTGTGATGTTTTAATGACTTGCACATAATTTGTAGTCATTCCACGACATGCATTTGCTTTTGATAAAATTGAAAGATTAATGGAATGTTTGGGTAATAAACGAATCGGATACGGTGGGCCGGTATCCAACTAGGGTTGAGAAGAGTGATACGAGTGATATGAGTGATATTGGATCCATAGACGGGCTCGAAACGGTTTATTATCCTAATATAGAAATTAATCTTTCACGGATCCGATAAATGAACATAAATGATTTTTACACGGATTGCATTCATGAGCATGTTTGTGACTTATATGCTTTAGTACTTTTTGACTCGATTCTTGTTTGATGTTTGTATGACTCGGTGAAGGTAATCGGAATGTTATATATACTATATATATGTATAACCTATTTTCAACCCTCGGTAATTCCTCGAGTTTCTTACTGAGCTTAATAGCTCATATAGATATTTCTAATTGCAGGTAGTGCTAGTGGTAACCCTCCCCCG